AGGTTTGGGGGGGGTTAGGGTAAGGTTTTCGCTTTTTTTTTACATTTTTAATTTTTTTCGTCGCGCTGTGATGACGTCACATGCGCGCTTTCGTCGAGCGTGATTTTGTCCTCCGCGGTTTTGACGGGTCACGCCCTCCAATACTTTGAGTCTTATCTGGTCTTTCCCAGGCAAAAGCTGCCAGTCTGGGGGAGATTCCTGGATGATAAGCAGAGAACAATAAAGTAATTATCCCAAAGGTGCTTTTTCAGAAGGCAACTGGACTTTATTTTTTCCTTGGAAACTTTTCACTTCTCATCCAAGAAGCTTCCTTGGGTCTTCAGTTGAGAAGGGATGAAGCTTCTTGGATGAGAAGTGAAATATCTTTAAGGGAAAAACAAAAAAAAATCCAGTTGCCTTTTGAAAAAAAAACACCTTTGGGACAACCATGACCTTGGATGATTGAGAATCTCCATAGACAATAAAGTAGCTAGTTTAAACCCTACATGTGTGGGTTTGGAGCTGGAGCTGGATCCAGATCCAGATCCAGATCTAGATAGGGTTGTTCATGGCTGAAAGAGGCAGTTTTTTAGAAATTGGAAGCAGACAAATCTATGAACAGAAAAAGGTATTCTGTTTGCAGTTGACGTGCTACTAAGACTTGTTCCATTTTGTCAGTAATGGGATGAAGAATTGTAGAGGCGATAAGTGGATTTTAATGGGCTGTTGCCCTATTTTGTAGTGTAGTTTTATGTAGCAATAATTCCTTGCAATAAGGTGGTACAGAGCTAAGGTGACTTTTCCCTCGACAACCAAGGCCATAAATTTAATCCGTAATATTGTTCTCATGGGCTTAGCAAGGCAGTACATGAAAATTTATGTTAGCCTAGATTGTTCACATTCTAGCTTCTGGCTTACTCAACTGCAAAGTTACTCAGGACAAACAAATAATAAACTAGCATTATATATTGAATTCATCTCAAATAAAAAGATACTTTACTATTTTTGTTATATATTTAATGTTTCCATGCCCCAAACAAATCAAAGCAAGTAGTTCTATTGCAAAACAAATTAGATCTTTAATCTACTTTGAATAGGATGTCCTTTCCCTGATTTGATTCTTGGCTGCTTCTATTAAACACTGTATTTATTTTCGGTTTATTTACAGTGTATTATTAAGCTGGATAATGTTTTAGAAAAAGATTAGCATCCCAAGAATGAAAGCTTTTGTTTAGTTTTGCTTCGGAGTCCTGGGAATTGGAACATGTCAACTGCAAAAGAACAAAACAGAACTCCAACCCACTTTCCCTCTTCCTATTTGCTGCCCTGATTATTTGCAATAGCTGAAATCAGTAGTGGTTTTCAGATTGGACTTAGATATTTTCATCTCCATTCTGGGAGCTGAAAAATCAAAATAGACATATTTAATGCTATTTTAGAAGGAAAATGATACCTAAAGTATAGAGGAGAGGGAACCTGAATCCTGCCTCTTTTTATTCTTATACTTTTCAACTCTAAAATAACCATTTGATATCTGAAAAATTGCTATTATTACTGTGGAATAAAAAGTTTTGCGCTTTTCATATTGAACCAGTAACTCATAATTTCTATTCTAAATCTGTATTTTTGTACAATACAGTCTGAATACTGTATTATAACGTAGCATATTTCTCTAGACTTCTATTGTCCTAGTGAATATCTATAATCTACATTTTCCCAAAGTTATCGTAGAGTCTCAGTTGTAAATGTTGTTTCTCTCTCTCTCTCTCTCTCTCTCCCCCTCTCCCTCCCTGCTTCCCCCCCCCTCTCTCTCTCTCTTAATTTTCTTCATTTTGGTTATAAGTAGATTCAGGTTTAGTAATGATCAGAGAGGTAAATAATGCTCATTGTTTTGAATAAGCAAACCTGACATTCAGACGATGAAATAAATCCTCATTTGCCTATATTATCTCATAATTTAGGTAATTTGAAATAGGATCTTTACAAAATAAAATTTAGCTTTTCCATTTAAAAAGTTCTATTTTTTATATTAGTTATTTTCGCTTTTATACTAAGACATTATTTAATTGGTTATAGCATATTATACTATTATAATATATTATCTATCATACAATATTGGTATAATATGCACTCTTGCTTTCAACCAGCAGTGAAATTACCTTAATATTATTAGTGAAAACTTGCTACTGTTCAAATTGGCTCCATGCTACAGGGTTTTTTTTTAAATAATTATCCAGTATTCATAACATTTCTCAGATATTGTACAGTCTCAGAAATAAATGATTAGATCAAATCAGTTAAAAAGTAAAATTGTGAATAAAAGGACATGATACAGCAGAGAAGGAACAGTGGACTAAAAGAGCAGGGAAGAAATTAAAAATAAGGGACATTATAAGTTAGTGATGGTTAACCTTTTCATTGCTGAGTGCAGAAAGTGTGTGCGTGTGTGCACACCCATAATGCAATGTGCGTGTGACTTCCATGCACATGTACGCCCCCCGTGTGTGCCCCACTCATGCATGTGTGACCCCCCTCGCACGCCCATGCCCCCCGCATGCACGCCTAACCCACACACACATGCTCCCCACATGCATGTGTGTCTCCCGCATGCGCCCAGCCCCCCGCTGGCCAGCAGGAGGCATGTTCATGTGGAGCTGAGATGGCACATCAGCTCATGTGCCCACAGAGAGGGCTCTGCGTGCCACCTGTGGCATGCGTGCCATAGGTTCGCCATCAGATGTATAAGCGAAGAGTATGGTTTTAACCTAAGCTATTCGATGGAGATTGAATAAAATAGAAGCCAAAACAAGTAGGAGGCAATCATCTGTACCAGTTTCTATTCTCAAAATCTTGGAATTTTTCAGCAAGAAATAAAACTACGCTTCATCTCTGCTTTAATTTGTAGCTATAAATAAGTTTTGGCTGGATACTGGTCCCATTTAGGCTGCAAAGCCATCAGAATATGTTGAAGGATTTTATACAGTGCTTTTCATTCATCCCAAGCACTTATGAACATAATCCTGCCTAATCGTTGTACCTTCAGTGCACAGACCAAAAGCATTTAATGAAGCAATCAATATATAAGAAATGCCTGTGCCTTGTCCAAATGGAATTGCAAATGAAGACATTTTCCAAAAGAGAATTTTAGACTGATGCATTCTATGCTAGTACGTATTTTAGTATCTACAGTAGGAAAACGTGAAAACAAAAATAAAGCTTATGCAGAAATGACACCAAATGAAAGCAAGCAACAATCACAATTAGTGGAAGTTTTCTGGGTCCCTTCGTGCTGTTTTCAGTTAATAACATCTTAAATTGGAAGTAATGCTAAATATTCTAAAACCAAAAAATATTTCAAAGGTGTTCGGTTTTTCCATTGTTTCCTATTTTTCTACAGGAAAAATCAAGGGAAACATTTTCAGAAAACTATTCTCCCCCTCCTCTATTTTTCCTCTCTCCCTCCTTTTGATTTTTCTGGGCCTTCACATTTCA